AAGGTTAACCCGCGCCCCGTAGGGGGGCCGAAACGGCCCCCCTGTCCTTTTCCGTTGATATCTCCTAAACGGCTGGAGATATCGCCACCACACTTTCAGGGCCCCTCCGGGCATCAATTTTACACATTGTGACCAAAAATTTTTCCAGAGGCTATGATAGGTTGGCCACAAATGACGTCAGAATGACGTCATGTTCTGTCATTTTCGACCGAAAAAAGACCTTCGCGAGAAGACCTGTCAGGCCTCTTACAGCTTTGAAGATACAGAAAAATGATCAAGACATAAAAGGTGTAGTATTGACAGGGCTACAAAAATTCTATCTCGGATTTTTTAGATTTTTTAGTTTTGACCCTCAAAAATAAAAAAAACTTTTTTTTTGAGCCAAACAATTTAAAAAAATTTGAGTTTCGAAAAAACGGAATATATGTGATAGTATCTACCATCTTCTATCCACATACCAAATTTCAGATCGATACCTCGTTTTTTGGCCAACTTATAGCGAAAAAAACTGTTCAAAAATGATGACGTCAAATTTTCAAACTCAATTTTTGGCAATTCTAGACCTTGTAGAGTAAAACAAAGACCACCAATAGACTCCCCGTGACAAGCTGCATGGAATCGATACCCATTTTATTCAAAAATATCAACTTGGAATTTGACCTCATTTGACCTGACCTTGACCTGACCTTCACCAAAACGTGACCTAGGCAGGCCCCAAAGGCTGCCTAACCCACATAATCGTATTTGTCATGTAAAATGGACCATAAAACATGTATCACACGACACTTTCATATTGTGACCCCCGGTGACCTGACCTCGCTGTGACCTGACCTGGTATCAGTGACCTCAGATAGCAAAGTGTGTGTTTGACGAACAATGTACCATCGATGGTTTTCAATAAATTACCAATTTACTCGATTTCACAACACATTTTTTGAAATGCCTGTGAACGGTGAAAATCCGACCTTTGACCTGATCTGTGACGTCATCGGTTTGACCTAGGTCAATGAAGGTAGTTCCCAGGTGGGTCTATCGAACGCCGTTTGAATAATTTTGAAAAATGGTCGGTAAATTTCCGAGATATTAGGGGGGCCGAAACGCCCCCCCCCCCCCCCCCTACGGGTGGTAGAGTCCACCGATAGCCCTACGGGGCGCGGGTTAATAGTCAGTGGACCAAAATCGTCATACTACCCGCAATAGGCTCTCAGTATTTCCGTTGAACGTTTTTTTTTTAAATAGCTCAACGAGTTTGGTTATATGCATAACGCAAAAGACATGTTTATTGTTTATTGTTTGGACACACATTGCGCGAGAGGTGACGTGAATGCCGACCTACAGTATAACACGTCAATGGATGAGTTTTGTATTTACGATTCGTCTCCACTTTCACTTTGATTTTTTTCTCGTATGTGCACATGAATGCGTTTTTTTTTTGCGGCTGAAATAACGGCCTGTTCAACTATTTATGTTGTTATACCTAATTAGTCACTTTTAATGGCATCTAACAAGTAACAGGCCGACTATAGATGCACCCTACCTATAGGTGTGTAACTATGCAGTGTGTGCACGTCATGCAACTTACACGCGTACGTCTACATACGCATACGCATAGGTTGTACCTGCGTATACGCAAACGATTATCCACGCATACGTATACATGTGGTTAATGCTATCATATCACCAAACCATCAGATGAAATTTATTTATAATCACCGTGATGAAATTGACCAAAAGCTGCTCACTTTTTTCAATGAACCTGCTTTCGACGCTGTAACCCTTTCGCTGTCACGGTGCTTAACTAATTAATCCCATCATAAGATAAAAAATGCATTACATTACAGGCTGGATATCTTGTGTTAATACGAGCTTTATACATGAGACATGTAAACTGACAAGTAGTTGAGACAGAAACATAAACGATTACATGCATAGTTGTATCTGTTAAAAGCGAATTACATGCTTCACACAGGGGCGGATCCAAGGGGGGGTCACATGGGTCATGGCCCCCCCCCCTTGAGGCCCGGGGGCCCAAAGAGCTGCCAGGGGCACCACCGGCCTATCAGGGGTATCACAGTCCTGACAGGGGCACCACAGGACCGCCAGGGGCACCACAGGCCTAGCAGGGACACCACGGGCCTGGTGCCCCTGACAGGCCTGAGGCGCCCCTGCAAGGCCGGTGGTGCCTTGCTAGGCCTGTGGTGCCTTGCTAGGCCTGTGGTGCCCCTGGCAGGCCTCTGGTGCCCCTGACAGGCTTGCGGTGCCCTTGGAAGGACTGTGGTGTCCCTGGGCCCTGACAAGCCTGAGGTGCCCCTGACAGGCCCGTGGTGCCCTTGTTAGGCCTGTGGTGCCCCTGGCAGGTCTCTGGTGCCCCTGCTAGGCCGCTGGTACCCCTGCGCCCGGAGAGGACTGGTGCCCCTGAAAAGTCTGAAGTGCCCCTCGGCAGGCCCGTGGTGCCCCTGACAGGCCCAAGGTGCCCCTGCGAGGCCGGTGGTGCCCCTGGCAGACCTCTGGTGCCCCTGGCAGGTCTGTGGTGCCCCTGGCAGGTCTGTGGTGCCCCTGGCAGGTCTGTGGCGCCCCTGGCAGACCTGTGTTGACTGGTGCCCCTGCTAGGTCGCTGGTGCCCCTCACAGACCTGTGGTGCCCCTGGGCCTTGACAAGCCTGAGATGCCTGGCTATGACAGGCTCGTGGTGCCCCTGATAGACCAGTGGTGCCCTTGCTAGGCCTGTAGTGCCCCTGGCAGGCCTCTGGTGCCTCTGCTACCCCTGCGCCCGGAGAGGACTATGGTGCCCCTGAAATGCCTGAAGTGCCTCTCGACAGGCCCGTGGTGCCCCTGACAGGCCCAAGTTACCCCTGCAAGGTCGGTGGTGCTCCTGGCAGGCCTCTGGTGCCCCTGGCAGGTCTGTGGTGCCCCTGGCAGGCCTGTGTTGACTGGTGTCCCTGCTAGGCCGCTGGTGCCCCTCACAGCCCTGCGGTGCCCCTGGAAGGACTGTGGTGCCCCTGCCCCTAGGGGTGCTCATGGGCCCATCAGGCCCGTTGTGCCCCTGACCGGCCTGTCGTGTATACTTGCTAGACCTGTGGTGCCCCTGCTTCCCGGCGGGCCTGTGGCGCCCCTACAAGGCCGTAGGTGCCCCTGACAGGTTTGTGGTGTCCCTGGAAGGACTTTGGTGCCCCTGACAAGCCTGAAGTGTCAAGGACAGACCCTTTAGACGCCAGGGTCAAGTTCGTCGGACTGACAACGATTCACTTACCTGATAACGTTCCTGGTAAGTACTCACTACTCAGCGTCCACAACATATATACACATAGCACATTCATATATACCTACTTGCTTACAATTGGTAAATGTGGTTGTGGCTAAGAGTTAAGATATACTGACTAAAAATAAAAAATAAAAAGAAAAAAACTGAAAATGGGGGCACCAACAAAATGAAGTGGACGAAATCCGTTGAGTTTTTAATTTTGGGTATAGGTAGGGGCACCACTTCGATTCATGACCCTCCCCTTGGAGTTTTCCTGGATCCGCCCCTTCACATATCTTGAAGAAAAAAAAAACAAGAGAAAGGGTAAGGAACAAGGCGGTCAGACAGAGCGCTTTCCGCGTCATGATGTTCTTCAATTTATTCATGAACTCGGTGGGAGTAGAAGAACGTACATCAGAGCCATCACTATAGCGAACGAGGGCATCAGACACACTTCTAAACAAAGAAACTTTATTTCAACAGTTAGCAAAGGCCAGTAATTAGCAAAACATAGCATTTGCCTCTCTATGCCGTCTGCCGATGTTAAAGATCCTGTTACCCATTCACTCGAAGGCGTTTATGTATGCGGTTCACGCAGCGCCGATGATTCCCAATGCGCCGACAATCGGCCCACGGAATCCGTATACCACCCGGGAGAATTAACTTCACAAAGCCCTCGTCTGCTGACGCCCATGTGGCCCCCATTGTGTGCGGTAACTACCGGTGGGATGGGTGGGTGGCCGGGCGTGGGCGGGGGCTGTTTATACCTCAGTTAATGCTGCACCCACTCCCTCTACTGGCAGCTGAGGCTCCGAGGAGGCTGCCGAGACGCCCCGAGACAGTCACGAACACGTAGGTACTCATGTTCTACGTTCTCATGCTCACGGCCAACGGGCGGCTACCGCACCATTGTCTGAGCTGTGAAAAACACACTCTGCAGCGATCCTCTTACGAGGTTACAGGCAATGCTTTGTGATAACTTTGACGCTAATTAGTTCTAGAGAGTGTTAAAGCGGCATGTCGTGCCCTTATACAAACTTTTATCATTCTGCTGACGCAACACACAAGCCTGAGCCGCATATCTCATCCTCAACACAACTATCGCTCTTGAGGAGAATCAAACTGAAATATGGAGCTCAGATTTCAAGGAGGAAGAGAGTGAATAGAATGAGAAATACATGAAGAAAATGAATGTTTTGAACTTCGATGATATGTACAAGTCTTGTAGTTGTCGACATGCTTTATGTAGGTTCCTAAGCAGCCCACTTACAAAAAAAAGAAACATTTGACTTGCGATATCAAATGTCTTCATTAGCAGGTCCGATAGTCATCCCTCTCTGTAACTATTCAGTTTTCTAACGAAGCCCACCCGCAGATGAAGCGGTCATGTCGATCGTCCTCGGGACTTTTTATCCCACCGAACACACAGAGCCGTCCACCGCAAAAACGGCGGCATCGCCACCCCATTCATATCTGGTGTGTGGCACCTTACATGGGCGGTCAACGGGAGCATTGTCGTGTTTGTCCTTCACTCAAATAAAGCAAACTGGTGTAGAAGACAGCCATGGCCTATTCAAGCAGCTACCGGGTGTTGTTCGAGCTGTAAGCAGGTGGGAAGGTGGTTGGTGTAAACTGGCTGGGAGCTAACCGTTAAACATCGATGCGGTGAATTATTTTATTGATCGAATGCCTCCATCTCCAGCTCATCATACGGCGGTGTAACGGCGGTTTGGCCCGGTTCTGACCGCGACTGCTGCCCTGCGGGCTGCGAGGGGCTCTGACCCGGCGGGGCAGCCGACCGACCGCCGCCGTGTCGTCCCAGGTCAAATGTCAGCGTCGGGCCGCGGCATTGACCCTGCCGCTGCGCGCCGCGCCACTTTCACCCCTGAGCGAGCGCGCCGCCACGCCGCGGATGCTGCGGCAGTTGTGGCGTGTGCGCCGGAGTCGTCGCCGGCATCAGCTGTGAGCTCCGGACGAGTGGCGAGGCAGCGCGCCGCCCCCGCCCCCGCCGCCGCCCGTGAGCGCCGAGCTCGGACGGAGTTCTGAGGAGCTGACACCGGACTGACTGCGTTTGGCCGCAGGTGAGGAACTAAGGCATGAGATCATGGACTGACAAGAATACTCACAAGGGCGGCAGGATCCAGTCCTGTGGAACGAGCAGTAGCAGTCCTCCGGAGCTTACAGAAGCAGTCCTCATGGAACGCCCTGGAGCTAACAAAAGCAGTCTTCCGGGTAATGACGCGAGACCGCTCCCCCGGCCATCGCCTGCCGTTTTTTACCGTAATGCACACCCGCCGACATGGGTGGACGTTAAAATGGCTTTTTAGTTGAGTTGAAACGGTAGTGAAGATTGAAAATGCCCGTTTCTTGACCTAAATTTTAGGTACGATTTATTGTGAAAAGCCGAACCATCCTCCAATGCCTAAGCAAAAAGCATTTTGCTTATTATATGATGAGTTTCAATCTAAAATGCAAACGATGCCATTGTCCATGGCGAGCGACATTACGTTCTAATGAAACGGGCAAAGTTGTGTAATAAGAAATGAACACATTTTAAGTGACCTCTCCAGATGTGGATGAGAGCGAGACAAGCCGACCTACGTCTTATAGTTTAATGCAATGCATTAAAAAACATAATTCTATTTTAGTTTTGCAAAACCATCCAAAATTTGTTAAGAATTTAGAACGAATCATATACTGCCATTGGTATTTTAAATGTTATTTTTTTGCCGTACAATCTATTTCTTGATGACGCTTGCACAACATGAACAACAACTGTAAACGTTTCGCAATGCCACAAAGCTGTTACTGAATGAGCGATGAGCTAAATAACGCGTCGTTTCGCACTACCTCGGAGGGATGACGGCTCTCCCACACGAGTGATGAACATATTCCCATGAAGCAGCTATTATGTTTCCATCTGGATGCTTCAGTGCGTACTGTTGGACGGTTCGGCAAGTCCGACTGCCTTTATCTGCCCACTGCCATAGGTCTTTTACTCGTCAATTTTCCCCTTACGAAAACGGAAAAAGCCGGGCGTTGCACATGTCTTGTTAACCGATATTGGCTATCGCAGACCGCAGTCCCACTGGCACTCTCATACAGTTTACTGGAGAGGATACCCGTCAAAGAAAAAAACTTCAAGGAATGTTGATTTAATTATTGTTATTTTTTAAAAAAGGAACTAAGTTAAATTTTGATTTAAATATTTTTATCTTTCAAAGAACGAAACAGGTGTAGAAATGTCTATTCTAAATCAAAATGTTAACGAGTTGATGACATTTGTTGTTGAAGCTTTAGAGGCACAGGCACACTTTCCATATTTTCATTTATGTGGCTTAGAGGCACAGGCACACTTTCCATATTTTCATTTATGTGGCAGTCTTTTCGTTTTATGGTAAAACACATAAATTTATTTGGACTTCATGTTATCAATTCACAGAGGAGGTCGCAAACAAATTCATTCAAAAGTTCCTTGGCATGGGATAAGGATCATGTCCGTCTACTGAGACACCAAGTACATATGCCTCCAAATTTATCGCTTATACATATTACATATCGCAGATCGCAATGCTGTTGGCAGGTGCGCAAAGGCGCAATGGTCTTAGCTTTGTGGTGAGGATGTATCTCCCAGTAAGGTTGCAATATGCAGTCTGTTTTTGCGGATTTATTGGCGATGACATTAATCCTGGAAAGTCCTGCTTATCAAAGCCTTTCATAACGACTGAGAGTGGCTATTTATCTTCCCTGAAGAGCCCTAGTCAGGGGCTGAATAAATAGTCATTATATACGGCGTGAGTTACTGTTTGCAGTGACCATCTTTCCATTACACCAGACATTAACGCCCGGCTTACTGCCAAGGATATGGGAAGCGTTATCTCGACGTGGATCGCCGAGAAGTGGCTCACAGAATAAGCGCGGCCACTCATCACGCATGATAAAGGAGACGCGTTACCCCAGCGGCGGCTCCTCCGACCAGTAGCGCGCGGCGGGAGCGGCCTCCGACTCGGTGTGACACCTGACACCCTGCCTCTCCTCCTCTCCCCTCCTTCACTCCCTCCGCTCCTCTCCCCTCCCAATCGGCCGCCGTCGGTGTCGTCTTCATCTCTGTTCGCGCCGCCTCTTTCGCCACAGGCCAGGACCGACCTCGGACCGGTCTCCCTCTCAGTTTCTCTCGGACGAGTGATTCTCTCGGCCCTTCTGTGTCCTATGGCAGACGCTAAGAACTGACCGTCTAAACTTCAGAGAAGATGCCGTTTAGTTAACGCTGCTCTATGATTACGCTTATCACTTAGCACCTTGATGCAGCTGAGTGCGCTGAGAGCATCAGCTTTCCAGCTGGTGACTACTCGACGCGTTATCGCGGCAGCTGTTGGAGAAGTCGCCCGGCCTGTAGATCTGACTGAGCAGCAGGACGTCAATGCGGAAATTAGGGGTCGCACAGCTGTTCGAAGTCCCGCGGCGCGACATACGGTCGTGCATCGACCTTGAGCGATATTAGATAACGATTATCGACTACCGCGAGTGAAGGTGAGGTAAGTGCCAGTCACCGATGAGTGAATGTGATGGTCTGCATGTCTTCTTGAACACCCACGTCAATGCTGGCATAAGCAATCATCAATAAACCCTCATCAAACCTAGCTAAAAGTGACGATTCTACCGGCGTTGCGGTTTTGGGAGACTCTCCCCATGACTGGATGTTTGGCGCAAACATGACCAGCCACCTTCTCTGAATGACATTCCGTGTGTCACAGTCGACATTCAGCCCGGGTTCCCCGCCGTGTCGGTCCAAATCCGGTGGAGATGGTCCGGTCTGTGTCACAGGAGGTCGGCGGGCGGCCAGCCGCCGACGGCTCAGGAAATACCAGAGCGGTGCTGCCTCGGGACCATCGCTCGCGTGACGGCTCAGCTCAATCACTCCTCAGTCCGCGCCCGCCTCAAACGAAGCGGAACAGAATGGAGGCTTCCAACCTCTTTAGCGCCCTGTCGCCGTGAGCGACACTTTGCACTCACGACAGCTTGCAATTAACACATCACCTTTCGGCAAGTATGGCGAGACGGTAGCTGTTCGGTATTCTACATCCAATCCAGTTTCTTGCCGCCCATTGCGCACATCAGGGTCATCACGACGGAACTCGTCACGGTTGAACCGCGACTGATCGACGTAGCAGTGTTCTGTTCAATTACCGGGTTTTATTGCCTCCGAGACTGGTGTGGGAGTGGCGCAACTCGCCGCTGTGTAGCTAGCTGGGGCAGTGACGGACGGCGGACGTCTACTGACCGCTTCTCACAGGAGACGCGCTGTAGCACATCATCGGATTGCGTCACGGGTCGGTCTCCGGAGCGACCCGCCGATCGGCCCCGCCCCGCCCCGGGCGGGAGGCGAGCGGCGCTCCCCGCCCCGGGCGGGAGAGGACGGGCGGGACAAACGGGCGGGCTTCTGTGGGCAGCGACGGGAAATCGCAGACGAGACGGTGGCGTGTGACTGACACAGCTGTGTGTTTGATTTTGATTTGCTGGCTGCGAGGATGGACGAACCACATACGGATGACACCTTTGCGATTTATACCTTGGCAATACCTCGACATGACGCGTAATACCGGCTGCATAAGAGGTGTTTGTAAGTTTATTACGGAGCGAGCGAAGCGAGCGGAGTCTCATACTGAATTAAGGGAAAATCCTGAGTATGAGCGGCCGGCCGGCCGGCCGGCCGGCCGGCCGGCCGGCCGTGGGGACGCTCTTCAAAAGCTAATATCTTAGGAACGGGACATCCGATTGACAAGCGGTCTTCTTTACTGAATGTCACTTGGACGTAAAAGTTCTGTGGTGTGATGGCCACCATGCGTTCTTGCCAACCACCGCACGTGGCGCGTGGTAAAGTTGGACATTTTTTAAGAACCCCCAAAATTGCAACCTCAATAACGGCACAACGGTTGGGCCGATTGAATTGAAACTCGGTACACAGTTAGGTCTCCATCAGATAATTCATCTGCATGTGTTAAGGTTGGGGTGCTACAGCACGTGCGCACGTGCAGGGGGCGCTCCCAGATCTCGAGAACGGCTGGGCCGATTGCGCTCAAATTTGGTACACGGTTGGGGACCAGTTAGTAGGGTGCCGTGCAAAAGTCAGTTTGGACCCCGCTTGCACGTGCGCACGTGCAGTGTGCCGCTTCCAGATCTCGAGAACGGCTAGGCCGATTGCGCTGAAATGTGGCACATCGCTAAAGACCGGTTAGTAGGGTGCAGTGCACAAGTTAGTTGGAGGTACCCCCTCGCAATTTCGCACGTGCAAGGCCCATCCTCTCGCTCGCTCCGTTAGTCGCCCAAAAGGCGTTTTACTGGTAATTAGATGACATTTGTCACACCTTTAGACCGCACCAAGGCGAGAACCTTGCAGAAGACCGTTTGCCAATGGCGACACCGAGGTATGACACTTGGCAGAGTGTGGGTCACAGAAGACAACGGACCGGAAGATGGCCATTTGCGGCAGGGGCGCGTCATGCCATGTCATTTGTAAGTGCAATGGCACTTAGCTACCGTGACCGGGGCATGAATGGCGTGTGGCAGATCCTGAGGTGGTGGTCGCAGAGAAAGCCAAACAGCCATGGTGTTGCAGCTGTGAGCCGGACGGGGTGGGATAAAGTGCGGAACCATGCCCAGTGTGGGGTGTGTCATGGCCCCGTCAGAGCCTGTTAAACAAACTCGGGCCGAACATTTGCCACCGTGTGTCCCACAGCAGCAAGAATATCAGATATGCAATAACAGTATCAAATGCTAAAGCTCTAATACTGCACTCTCCGCGCAATACTCGCTGACACAAGATGACAACATGGACACGTGTAAGCGGACGTCTCAGCTTTAGCTGTCTTCCCGCTGTCTGTCGGGCCGCCGGGTCCATCCGCCATGTCGTCACCCCGTGGAAGAACCTCTGATCCCGCTCCATGTCGCCACCTATGGGAACGGCGCTTCTGACCTATCCCAGTGTCACTGCACGTGGGGTCAGGAACCCGGCGGTCACATCATACCCTGGTCACACCACCCACCGATCGTAACTGCAATAAGAGCTGCGTTGCTGGCTGTG